CCCCTCAGATTATTTCGAACTCTATCCTTGTCTATGACACAATAGTAGTCATGATGGCAAGGAATTGTCATGTTGGTGCTGACATGACAATAGGTAACGGAATTTTAATAAGCACACAACATCATCATTTATTTTGGATTTTTTCATTTAAATTGAAAAGATAAGAAGCTAAAATTTTCATATTGAAAGTTCAGAGGGTGATACTCTCGTAGTCAATAAGGTGGAGGGCCGGCCATAGATTTTCGCCCTCCTATTTTGCTCTTTTGCCTTTTCGTTTATGCTTCCCTACTTTGCAAGATCAAACCTTGGGTGGATTTTTATTGCCACTAGGGAGAATAGAGTGTGGTATAAGACTTGGGACATGAATACGATGGGAGACTTTCAACGGAATTCCTTTTTTTGTGACCATCTTTAATTGGCATATTTGATTTTGGTTGGCTATGTGGGTATTCCTTTTGTTTTTGCCTGCCAGTCACAATATGCAATGCACCAAGATTCAAGGCTTTTATCAACAATCTATTAGTTTAAATAGAAGAAACTCTATTTTTCTTATTTAAAATTTTGAGTTCAAGTTTTATAAATAGAAAAATAAACATTAAGAAAGTTATGTCTTATGAGGTGTGATGTGGTGTGTCTGATATGATTTGATTATAAATTAATTGGAATTTAATGTGATTTTAAATACCAAAGAATTTAGTTTTTTTTTTTAAAAAAAAAAATCAAGGCCTCTTTTTTCTCTTTTCTTAAACCAATTTTTGCGGTTTGAAAGTTCAAGTTATTGGTCTTTTTTGAGAACTCTCTACCTTACATGTCTCAAGTTTCAAACAGGATTACCTCAAGGAAAAAGTTCCAACAATTGGAATTGATATGTGGTTACGAAGAAACAAGATTCCTTTGAGTTTGACAATCATGGGTGATCCTGTCTTTGATAATTTAAAAATAAATTTAAAGGAGTTCTTTTATCGACTTTATTATTGGCGGAATAGCTCAGTTGGCTAGAGCGTATGGCTGTTAACCACAAGGTCGAAGGTTCAAGGCCTCCTTCTAGCGTTTTTCTTCCTTCTTCCCTCACTTTTTGGCTGGACAATCTTTGGAGGTGCAATCTCATTTTCTCAAAATGTTGGATTTGGAGGTTTGGTTTCATATATGCTACTAATTATTCATAATAAGATTGAGGTCAAAATGGCATCCATGTACAATTGAAATCATGTAAAAGGATTAAAAAAAAAAAAAGTGCCGATTGCCAGCATTTGAAAAGTAGTTGAAAAGAAGTTAAAATAAAGAAAGAAATTTGATAATTGGATTATGTATTGAAGGTGGTTTCTAGATGGGTGCTCCATTAACCTTTTTTAATCCTTAGCTAAAGTAGGATGATGCTGACAACTACACCAGAATATTGATTTTTTTTTTTTTTTACATCAAAATAAGGCCTAATGATAATGATGATAAGTGCACTGCACATCATTTGTGGGTTTTGATTGGAGCCTGATGCATGTAACCAACCGAACTATAATTAAGGCCTCCTTTGGGCTTCAAATTTGTCAAAAAAAAAAAAAAAGTTTAAACCTGTGACTTCTAATCCAAACACTCATGTAAAGAAATCATTGAGTTTCGACATGTTTTTCGTAAGCAAATTCTTGTCCAGATATTATGACTACATCCTTTTATCACTTGGAGGCTAGGTTTCATTATTTTGAAAACCTTCAAATGAAGTTAGAGTTAGGTTCAGACATGATCTAATAAGAGTGTGTAAGTAAGCTCAGGATCTCTCATTTCTTCAATGCAGAAAGCACTGCCCTATGCACCCAGAGAAAAAAGAAATCGTTGAATTATTTATCGCATAAAATCTTGTATGGATTTGATGCCTGGCTAGAAAAACCATATGTGATACAAAGCATCTCTTGTCGGTGTACATTAATTTTCTTCTTGGAAGAACAAGAGTTGCACAATGGTTTACGTAACATATCAATTCGGCAATGAAATTGAGCTAAAAATGGCTTCCTATTGCTTTGATTTGTTCCTGTATCAGTTTGCTGTTAGTGCCATTGTTTTTTCCTATTATATATATATATATATAGGTGTGATTATGATTACTCATTATTTTGTTGAAATTATTTAATTTTAAAAAATAAATTAATTTTTTTTACTAATTATTTTATTAATTAATAATTATTTTTAATGATCAAATTATACAAAATTAAGTAATTTAACAAAAGCATGGTGGCTATAACGACAACCTATATATACTTGCCCTAAAGGGATAAGCCATTGCCCATTACCTAATTGATCGGCTCATGGACAGAGGCATCAAACTAAAAGGAGGTAGCGAAAGCATCTCTCAGCAAAAGGCATATTATTTGTAGCAGCAGCTGTGATTCCATCTAAATGCTGCCCCAATTGTATTGAGTAGTTTAGTCAAGATTAGAATAGACAATCCAACACGTAACCAACACGCTTTGATGGATTAAGTTCACCAGAATTTGGGTTCCATGAAGATCACCATAGGCATCGTTATCACATTCTCACAATTACCATTCCGGGGAAGCAAGGAAAAGCATCCAGGGCTATCGATACAGACACTAGACAGAACCTAAACTATGTCTTTTGATGTTGCTTCCTGTGATTGGATTTCCTCCAATTTAAAGCAGAAGAAATACATCGACATTTGCACTCACACTTCAAAATAACACATGTTCAACTGTTCAAGCAAGCCAGGTTGGAATATGGTGTAATTTGAACTTGACCATCATTCATATTCACAGGTACCAAACATTCATTGCAATCAAAAGAACAGGATGTGAATACTGCAGCAATACAGTTATTGTTATCAACTGAGCAGACCTATGTCGATTACGTGAATGTAGATGCTTTATTGATGAGCATTGAGCACCAACGAGGGGTTGGATCAAGTGGCAAGCGACTTGTTCCAGCTTAAGCAACGTCTCGAGTTCGAAACCTTGTGTACGCAGCAGCCTTCGTTGGGAGACCCACCCACCATTCTGGTGCGCCACAGCTGGTCGAGTCCGGAGTAGTCGGGGCGAAGTCCCGGATACCGGATGGGAAACCAAAAAAATTGATGAGCATTGAGCAATGATAAGGGCTACCAGATAAATTATAACCTTAAAAACAGAGATTAGAGAAACATACACGCCTCATATTACAAAGGATAGAAGCACATCTATTCAGAACTTTTGACTTTGGTTTTTTCTTTTCTCTCCCTAATATTTCTTGATAGAAAGATGTTTTCAGTACGGACAGCATTTTTTTGTGTAGTCTAAATAATGAAATTATTAAAATATTCTTAATAAAAATGCCCTATATGTTTATTCTTTAATGGTGTTTTGATAATTCAGTACGGGACTGCACAAAAAAGACAGTCCATACCAAAAATCACCTTTCTCATTTCCTAAACAGCCACAGAACTCACTTATGTATACACACGGTGATTAAACCAACATAAACAGGATTTTCTCCACAACCTAGTTAACACAGTCTGAAGTTCAATGGGTTGAATCAATATCCTTTTACGCTTTAATCTCTTACTATTGACTAACCAGGTATGTTTCATTCAGAACACACTAATGTTACATGCTGTGGCCCTGCAAAAGGTAGAAACAGAGAAGCTTCTAGAGAACAAATTCATTCATCTGTTTAAAGGGGGCTCTGCCAATAGCTTTGCTGTTTCAGGATTCATTCCCTATATCTGTTGAAAGCATTTGCCAATAGCTTCAAACATTGAAATTTATGATTGAGTTTCTCCTCATTCATTCATAGTGTGTAAACACCACCAACAATCTGTTGATTCGAGTGAAAAGAATTCGATTTATTTTAAGTAAGGTCCCGAATTTAAATTTTGTGAATGGAGAAAAAGGCGTTAAGAGAGCTTCCCCAAATGGGATCCAACGTAACTTGATTCCTAATTAATCGAAACTCAATGTGATTATCGGATATCCAAAGGTTAATATAAAAGAAAAAAAAATAGTGTTTAAACATCAAATACACATAAATTCATTTGACAAGAAGAAATATAGCATAAGCTTATCAAGAAGATAGGAAAGATCAAGGAAAACTAGAATGCAAGTTGCTATTTCATTCACAATACAATTTACACCTTGGAAAAAATCCCAAATCAATGATAAAATGCCGTGTCACAAATTCAATTCACATTTACAGTCCATCATTACAAATCTCGTCTGCACATATCAAACTAAATCTAAAGAAAGAAAATCAAATTCAACAATTAAAAACAACTAATTCATTCATGTAGAGCGATTCAGCAAATCATCAAACCGTGAATCGCCCATCTCGTAGCCTTCAACTACAATCCTGAGCAAATCAAATGCCTTTGCCCTCCCTTTGCTGCTGCCATTCTCCGCAACGTTGGAAATCCCCTCCAACACCCTCATCCCCACCTCCCTCACCTCCTCTCTCCCTCTTCCTCCTCCACACCTGGCCAAATTCAGCAGTGCTGCTACAGCATTCTCCCTTGTCCTTCCATTTGCCTCCGTCCCCTCAACCAACATATCCGCCAAAACCCTCACCCCCTCCGCCTTCCTAAATGCCTCTTCACTCTCCCCACACCCCGCTATTTGTGCCAACACCGCGCTTGCATCTTCCACAATCCCCGCCAGTTCTTTCCTCATTATGAGAGATATAAGCGCCGGAATTGCCCCGAGATCAATCAAAGTCGCCCTATTCAGCGGATAAAGCGCTACTCCAAACAGAGCTTTCAGAGCATCCTTTATGGATTCCGGACTAGATTTGGAGTCAGTGATTATCCTCACCAGTGAATAAATGATATCGCGTTTAGAACCGATTATAGGGCGATACGATTCCTCGGCGATGAGGAGGCTGTAGATCGTGGCGGCGCAGGACTGGACAGCGGCATCCGACGGGGAATGGCTGAGACCGTGGGAAATCGCATCAAGTAAGCCCCAGGTGGACATGAGAGCGGCACGGGAGGAAATAGAAAGATTGAGGAGCGTGGCGGCCGCGTTCTCCTGGGCTGAAGATGAAGACGAATAAAGAATCTCGGCGAGATACGGAATGCCACCAGCTTCAGCGACGATTGGGCGGCTGTCAGCATCGTGCTTGGTGATGAGGCGGAGTTCGGCGAGGGCCTCGGATCGAGTCTGTTCGGAGACGGAACTGAGCTTGGCAACGAGGGAGCGAGCCGTTCGCCGTTTAACTTCCATTTTCGGGCGGTTATCGGAATAGGATTTCGATTTTCAGATGCGGAAAGAAAGAAACAAAAAAATTGAAAAGATAAGAAAAGGAAATTGAAGGGGGAAATTTTGCCACTGTTTTGGGTCGGGTCGGGTCGGGAATAAAGGGATTTTTAAAATTTTATTTTATTTATTTTTTTATTTCTTTTCAAATAGGGAAAAGATCCAAAAGGACTTTAATGATGGATTGGGTTGGGTGGAGGGAGTTGGCCCAGTTGGGGTAGAGACGTAAAGTTCTAACCTAACAAGATAATTCAATTCCTTTAAATAGTTTCTCTCACCAAACACGACCTTTTGCGACCAAGATAATTTATTCAATTCACGGCAATTTCTTAAGAGTTTTAGAGTACATTTGATTTGAGGAAAATAGTGAGGAGAGGAGAGGAGAGGTGTAAAAAAAATTTTATTAATTAATTTATAATATTTTTAAATATTAAATTTTAATTAATTAAAAAATTTATCCATTTTTTTCTTTTAAATTAAACATATTTTTCATTAAGCATTTCCTCATATGACCCAAGTGATTATGTTTTTTCGTATAAAAAGTAAGATAAAACGTAATACATGATCACCAAGTCGATTCTTCGATCAATATTAAAACAGATACTAACTTATTAATTATGTTTTTTATCGTAAAAAAAAAAAAAAACATACCTTTCATTAATAATTCAAATACTCTTTTATCAACAGCTTATAATTGTTTTTATTTTATATGATATAATGAGCCAATTTAATATTGACATGCAGGTAAAAGGGTACTCATTTCTTACTCTTTCAAACCCACATAAAAATTTATGCAACTCCACTTTAATAATGTGTGAAATTGTCATGGGGCGGCACAATGACAACGGGTTAATGGAAGACCTCGATGCAATGCATAATTATTTGCAGTCTGCTTCATTAGTAATATATATATATATATATATATATGTATGTATGTATGTATGTATATTACGCAAGCAAGTCAACTAGGCAAGTGTGTGTTTATATAACTCATAAACCAAGCAAGATACTAAATTGTGATATCCCCGCTAATTATATCTTAAGTCTCCCTAGTATCAGCGTTGATTTAAAAACATGTATAATCCGTACTCATAAGTCAGAACTTGAAACATCTAATACTTTGTCAACTTGTTTGTAGAGGCATACTGTTTTCTAAAGCAAATATTGGATTAGTTTGACAATACTAC